CTTTGTTCCACTCTAGAGAACTCTTTGTTCTAGAGAACCCTTTGTTCCATTCTAGAGAACTTTTCGTTCTAGGGAACACTTTGTTCCACTTTAGAGAACTCTTTGTTCTAGAGAACCCTTTGTTCCACTCTAGAGAACTCTTTGTTCCACTCTAGAGAACCCTTTGCTCCACTCTAGAGAACTCTTTGATCTAGAGAACCCTTTGTTCCACTCTAGAGAACCCTTTGTTCCACTCTAGAGAACTCTTTGTTCTAGAGAACCCTTTGTTCTAGGGAACTCTTTGTTCCACTCTAGAGAACTCTTTGTTCTAGAGAACCCTTTGTTCCATTCTAGAGAACTTTTCGTTCTAGGGAACACTTTGTTCCACTTTAGAGAACTCTTTGTTCTAGAGAACCCTTTGTTCCACTCTAGAGAACTCTTTGTTCCACTCTAGAGAACCCTTTGCTCCACTCTAGAGAACTCTTTGATCTAGAGAACCCTTTGTTCCACTCTAGAGAACCCTTTGTTCCACTCTAGAGAACTCTTTGTTCTAGAGAACCCTTTGTTCTAGGGAACTCTTTGTTCCACTCTAGAGAACTCTTTGTTCTAGAGAACCCTTTGTTCCACTCTAGAGAAATCTTTGTTCTAGAGAACCCTTTGTTCTACTCCAGAGAACCCTTTGTTCTACTCCAGAGAACCCTTTGTACTACTCTAGAGAACCCTTTGTTCCACTCTAGAGAACCCGTTGTTGTACTCTAGAGAACCCTTTGTTCTATACTATGGAAAAAAAACTGCTGAGACGTTGTGAGCTGGCAGGTTCCGTCCATGCTGTGGAGAACACAATACGTGTACACTGTAGGTGGGAATACAACAGCATGTAGGCTAGTACTTACCGCTCACTTGTGGCCATGTGCTTGCTAAAGACATTTTTAAAACAGTGGTTCCTGTCCTTGGAAAGGATGGAGAATTGTTCAATCATTTTGGGAAGGGAGGGGAGCGGACAGGAATCTATGTCTAGTGTTTCATTCCAGGGGATATTCTTGTGATCAGGAACGTTTGATATTGATAATTCTGTCCTCAGAGAAATTCGCGCGCGCAACCCGCAAGTTGCGCACGCAACTTTTGGCCTCAGCGCAACTTTTGCCATTTTTGTGAATTCGCGAATTTTAGGCAATTTTCTCCAAAAGTTGGAAAAATAATCATTTAATTTCGGTAAAAATAACCGAAATTTCCTCCCACAACTAAAAATAGCGACGCGAAGGGGGACAATTCGTACCTGAAATTAGATCTACCACACTTTCTCTGCACAACGGGGTGCCCAGTGCCCGTTGTGGATTGTGGATGATCGCCCGACTCGTTGCCTGTAAACAACGCGTTTGTTTTTGAGGCAAAGAGTCGGGTGCGATCGATTTGTGCCACGATAGCCACTTTGCGCCTTCAGCCTGTCGAGCAAACTGACACGTCCCGACCTGACCCCCCCAATAGTCCTGTTTGGACTTAATCATCTTCTACTTCTTCTAGATCTAGCTAAGTCTAGACTCTAGATCTAGCTAAGTCTAGACTCTAGATCTAGCTAAGTCTAGACTCTAGATCTAGAGAGAGTAAACTCAATCGTACACGATCGTCTGATTCCTTAGCTTGCTTGGTTCTGTAGCACCAGGTAGATAGATCTAGTATAAAAATTTGTGAAAGACTTTAAATCTTAGGCCAGGAGGGTAGATCTAGACATGGATCGATTCATCCAGAAAACCCCAAAAGGGGTCGTTCAAATATAATATATATATAATCTGACGCCAGGAAAAGGCCTAACAAAAAAAAGGGGGG